CTTCCCATTTGTATTTATTTTTAACGTATTCCAATGTAACTGATACACGAACATTAACAAATATAAACCGGTTTTAGCCGCGTAAAAACAATGTTGCATAATATCACCTGATAATTAACATTTTACGTTTATTCTTATAATGCGTCGAATAATTTTGCCAGACACTGTACGTAAAATGTTACGTAAATTTTAAGTTTTTTGGATAACCATTTTTTTACTACAATTCGACGTTTCAGTTTTACGTAAATTTTACGATTGCTTAATAAAACTTTCAAAGTAAAATATACGTATTTTTGACGTAAAATTGACGGTTCGCTGCTACCTGTGTATTAGTTCATGAACTCGATGGCGTTTTATACGAACCATTTCTATCAACTTTCGATTTCTTTCTTTAAAAAAAAAAAATTCTTGGTTTTAGTTCAAGGCTAAAGACTGAGAAATTCGATCAACATTTTATAGCTGTAAATCCTGAACATTGTCCTTAAGTCATTTAAAACCAATTCCCGTGACTAAATTCGTTTACGCAGGAAACAGTCAATGACATCATTCGACGTTGGAAAGTTTTGTTTCGATCGTAATCTATTCTTTGGAAATCCTTTCACATGGCAGAACTGTTTAAATAACTTACTAATTGCTTTAATATCAGAAAAAAATATTAAAAATATATTTATATAATGTATAAAAAGTATTCTTACTACCTTTTTATTAAATCGCTAACGTGTCTTTCAGGATGGAATCTTGAAATCGAATTTCCGACTAGCTAAGGCGTCTAAATTTTTACTGAATACCGTAACTATTTTAAATTTTACTCGCTTCCTAACGACAGCTTTAAGTAGAATTTATTGTCAAATATAATTTATAGTCAATTATAAATCCGTCTACGTTCCGACTGACTAGAGTACTCTGATATTATATGAAGTTCTACGTCTTATGACAATACAAACAATCGTTTTTTGACTTCTACGAGTAGAATTTATCGCTACGTAATGGATAAAAGAAATTTATTATCCAAAGAAATTTCAACAACTGATTGATTAGTTAGGGTGCTGAAATTTTAATTCGAGTTTTGAGCTAGATAAAAATAAAACTTTCAATCCTTTCATGACAACTATAATTATATTTTGAGCTACTAATTAAAATTTATTACCGACCTATATTTTGACGTTATAAAAAAAAAACTAAATGATCGTTGCAAACATTCATAAATTTACAAATCACAGCCTGTTTAAAAATAAGTAAAAAAAAAAACACACACACAATTAATGAAAATTAAATTTTAATTAAATATTAGTTAACAACTTAACTGCACAATTATTCTTGAAACCGTAAATCACGAAATTAAACGAAAGAGAAATTACTGGAAAAAAAAAGTACATCACGCGCAATAATTGCACATGTTTTCAAAAATATTCCACGATAGCTCGCGACATCCCTTTTTAAATCAATAACCTTGTCAAGATCAAGGTTTACAGACAAAACACGTCATAAACTTCCAAATTTAAGTCAATAACTGTTTTATTGACATCGTCGGAATGTTGGTTATTGACTTAGGAATTCCGATGAAGAACAGGTGGTCATTTTTTCCCCATGTTTTTAATATTAATAACGATCTATACAAATAATTGTAAACACGTGAAGGTATTCATAACATACGAACCTTTTAGAACACACGAATACAATGCAAAAAGTCTTATTTTTCTAAAAAGAACTAATAAAAGCGCTTGATCGATAGACTGGATCGTTAGTAACAGAAACGTGAGCACTAACTAGAACAAATTTTATAGTTAATAACATAGTTGCTTTCATAATATTTTTCGCAGAGAGTAAGGATATTTTTACAGTATCGTGATCTGCCACGCAAACCACAATCGCCAAGGAGACAAATGAATTTTTTAAACTTGCTATTTTTTTTTAATTTTATTTATTTATTTATTTATTTATTTACTTTTAAGAGAGAAAATGAGCTTCAACGGGCTCAGATTCATGATAAAAAAATTTTTCAAAGTAATCTTTAACAAACGTTTGTTAATAAAAATTAACAACGATCTGATTCTTCTGTTCAATGCTGTGAGGCTGGCGAATCATATTTAGCCTAATAATTTTTTTTTTTTTTTTTTTTTTTTTTTTTTTTGCCCATTGGCAAAATGGGTCTTGCCTTGGATTTGATGGCGTCCACACACTTTTCAACTGTTTTCAAGAGTAATAGTAAACAGTGCGCATACGTCGTCATTGCGTGCGTTACTATGGCGACCACTGCTGTTTTTCTTTCTACTTTCACTAGCAGGCATTTTTAATGTATTTACATAATAATAATTTAAAGTACTTTTATATTCTTTTTATTATTAACGTATAATGACTGTCTTGACGCTGATTTCAATATAAATAAGAATGCTGAAGAAAGAAAAGTATTTTGAGACGTCTTGAAACGCGTACATAGGCAGGATATGAAAATTAATCCGAAAACTTTTAAAGTGAATCGAAAAATTTTTGTACACAATTTTGAAATTCGTTCATACAAAAATAACTATATGCAAAAAAATAGCTTTAAATAATTATGTACTCGTTTTCATTTTTTTATTTTATAAAAATTTGAATTGGGTATAATATGAAAAAAACACAACTACTTCGATTTAGTAGGAACAACATATGACGCAATGCTAAACGAATGGAATTTAGTTGTTGTTTATTTAGTTATTGTTATTAGTAGTTGTTGTTATTTGTTTTAGTTGTTGTTGTT